CTCTCTAATGTAGCTCTGGCTACCCTAGAACTCAGTATGTAGACCAGGCTGTCCTTACACTAACAGAGCTTGGTCTCTGCCTCCCATGTGCTGGGATTAAAGGCCTGTGCCACCACCACCTGGCTACCTCAGCATTTTATCCAGGTCTTTCAGAAAGGACATTACGTTAGCACTCTCTGATTCCCTAATACTGATCTGTATTCAGGTTGCCTGCACTGTCTGAGGCAGGCTTCTTTATGCCAGGCAGCTGTAGCTGTGGCACTGTGGGGTTGGTCCATCTTGAGCACTAGCTCCTGCTTTCTGCTTGAGATATGGGCAGGTTGACCACAGCCCACCTTTATACACAGGGAGGGTTTGGGTTAAAAGATCCCTGGCTTTTCCTGGAGATTGGAGAGCCTAGGTAGGGAGTGCGGTCAGTTCTTGCCTGGTAGGCAAGGCTTTGCACTCCTGAGGAGTTGGCCAACAGCATGGAACATCCTGCAATGTCCCAAACCAGCCCTAACCAGGCTCTGGCATCGCTTCATCGTGCCTGCCTGAATCTGTCTGCCCTTCAGAGCAGAAGTAGTTGATATTATGTCCTCTGCAGAAGACAACGCTGAAGCTGAGGCACAGGACAAAACAGGTCTGATGTGGCCTGCACTGCTGTGGGGACAGGCATTTATGCCAATCCCTGTCCGAGTCTGTATCAAAGCTGTCACATGCCTTGTGTCCCCTCTGCTGGTTGACACTGTTGACCCTTGCATACCCTGGGAGTCCTTGCAGGACAAGGCTCTGGCCTTTCCCCAGAGCAGCCAGCAGGTCTGAAGTGGGAGTATAGTGGGAAAGAGATGAACTCAAATACTGCAGAGCCTTCCAGGCCTGGCTGTGGAATGCGATGGAGAGTTGTCTGCCTGAGGGAGGAGGAGGAGTTCATGTACGAGGCCTTGTTTCTCACTCCTCCCCGCTCACAAGATGTTTTCCTTTCATTACTTAAGTAATTGAGCTGAAAGCCGAGGACCGGAGCAAGTTCCTGGATGCTCTCGTGTCTCTGCTGTCCTGAGGGTAAGCCAGGGTGGGCGGTCCTTGGGCCTCAAGCCGGCTCCTGCTTTGTCTCCCTCAACAGAGACTTTTACTTGTGTTTCAGATCAGAGCAGGGTCTGGAGTTTTTTCCCAGGAATGTCTGTCCTAAGAATTCTAGCAGGGCCACAATGGAGCACTTCTGAGAAAGCTTAATTTCATTAAGTACTTTTGACCCCTCAGAACAACCTCAAATTTTCTCTCTAATGCCCACACCATGGGGCTGCGCATCAGTGCAAGCCCCAGTGCAAGCCCCAGTGGTCACCCAGTTTCTTACAGCCACAAGCCCCAGGATGGAGCCTACAAAAGTGGCACTCTGAGCCTTTCTGCACTCAGTCTTTAGTAAGAAAGGAAGCTGTTGGCAACTACCTGGCCACAGACCATGAAATGCTGGCTCTGCTTGAGCCTTCAGCTGTGGACAGCTATCCTGAGAGGCCTACTGCATGTGGCCCAAGACGGCTTCCTTGTGAAGCCCTCACTATTTTTCCACATAACCCTTCTTTTTGAGGAACTATGTGATTCCTGTGCCTATGTGGCCATCTCAGCCTGTTTGACCAGGCAGCCTTTCCAAGGCTCTGACACGAGAAACAGCTCAGTCTGGAGCTGCCCTATCCTTGTTAAAGCCTGAGCTGTAGGGGACTACGGTGGCCTCGTGAGTCTCAGGAACTTCGTTCAATCAGAATAGCCTGAGCATTCAAGACCATATTAAGGAAGGTGTCTAGACTGAACCAGGAAATCCTTGGTCAGACTTTCAGGTAGTCAGCAGTGACTTTGGGCTGTGTAAGTAATTAGTCTGACTCCAAAAAGGAGCCAACAGCACCCTTAGCCCACAGGTAGCAAATGTGTGCTGGGCTGTGGGGAGCAGCCCATGCATGCCAGGACTGGGTGGAGGCAGACCTCCCTCCTGCACTGTGCCAGCAGCCCTGCTGTGTATGTGGCCATCCGGCAGGCCTCTAACTGGCAGGGGAAGGGGTAGAGGCTGCTAGGTGATGGGAAAAGCAGTAGAGACTGACCAGGCAAGGGAGGCCCTTGTACTCAAGCCACGAAGCTGCCCTGGCAGGATAAGTCAAGACCTTTCCAGGCAAGGTCTACCAGCTGAGGAGGGTCTGGGTACTCTGATGGGGACAGTTGAGACTCTATAGGGGGTAAGAGGACAGCACATACCTCAGTAGACCTGCCCACTCCTCTTCACCCTGCCACGGGGAGTGACTTGAAAGCAGCAGCCCAGCACACATGGGAAGGCCTCGGTTCAGTCTGTTTGATGCATGGGGAGGAAGGATGAATTGTGTGAAATCTTTTTTTTTTTACCTTCCAGAATTTGATTTCTCCAGAAGTGACCTCCTTTTCCTTATTTATATCACCTGGCCTCTAATAGATTGCAAGATACATTTGATGTGTGGGACTATGTGGTTTTTAATAAAATAAAATGTTTGCTCCATTCCCTTTGTGCCTACTCCGAACCTTCTTGGGATTCAGGGCAACCTTGTTTCTGTATGCTGCCATTCTCTGTGCCGGCAGGAAGTACAGAGACTTCTCTACTCAGCCCTAGGACCAGGTCTCTCCCACCTGCTCTCCTGGCTTCCTAAGTCAGTGGACAAAGGCTGGGCCGGCCCTTCAGTACCTGCGACGGCTGCTGCCCAGCAAAGCCAGGAAGGAATGGACACTGCCTACCAGACTGTAGTCCTATCACTCTTAGCCATCCCTCCACCGTGGCCTTCTGCTTACCATACAGGGCCTGTTCACATGCCTTGACCCTGCCGGCAAGCAGGGCCTGCTCACATGCCTTGACCCTGCAGCGTGCAGGGCATGCCCACAAGCCTTGATCCTGCCAGCATGCAGGGCCTGCTCATATGCCTTGGCCCTCCCTGCCTGCATGCA